TCTGTGCATTTTCTCTTTTCCTTTCTCTAGCTAGCCAGATAGATAAAGATAAAAGAATCTAATTTCTGAGGTGTGCTTCATGCATGCTTAATGTAATTGTGTAAGTGTTTAGGGTATAAACCACGGTGACTCTAGAGATAACTGGGTTTCCTATCATGTTTAATATCTTAAAATTATCAACAGTAAGAAAGTTAGAGTGAGGTGAAACAATAGTTCCTTCTTGAAGCAACTGTTTAAAAATGCATTTTCTGATAGAGCTGCTTAGAAAAGGTGCTTCATTCTGGGGCTAAAAGATCCTGCTGTCTTTTCATCTCTTTTTATTATTTTTTAATTTTTTTTACTATTTTCCAGGAATTAAGGTTGTGTCTGTGTCAGACCCCCAAAAAAGTAAATTTCAAGTTAGACATCGAGATTCATAATTAGCCGAGTTTGACTTGCTCATCTTTCTTAAAAGTGACAGGCTGTTCACTTACTCTTAAATACTGTCTTCAGCAAACAGTGACAGGATCAACTCCCGTTTGTTATCAGGATAAAGGTGACCTTTACAAAATGATGGCCCTCTGCAAGACTCTCACAGATGTTCAAAAAACGGAATGTTTTTCTGTGGAAATATTTCTTCTTGATCATTTCTCCTGTTAGCCGTAGCCCTGTGGTCTTGCAGCTTGGATGCTAATTCTTCGCTGTGCTTAGTCCTGTATGGCTAACCTTTCTGCTGCAGTACAGGGTGTTGACACTGACATGCTGCAGTTTACCATTTGTGATTTATTTAGGATAAATATGTCTCAGGTGGCATTTAATCCTTCATAAAACCAGTGTAGCCTGCAGTGTCAAACCAGCAATCACATTGTATGCACAATGAAAAGAGCAGACCTTTGCATAAAAAAAAACTGTGGAAGGTGCTCCTGTGCTTGGGAGTGTTGGAAAGGATTCGCTAACCTGCCGTGTGCTGTAATTACCTGGAAGCTCAGGTTAACGATACTTCTCTGAGTACAGTCTGCTCAGGCGAGCTAATTTTTTTCTAGGGCTTTTTTTTTTTCTTCTTTTTAATATGCACTTTAAAGTTAACTTATTAGTGTCCTACAAATATAACATTAGAAATCATGGATGACGTTCCTGCGCAGACAGCCTGCTTAAGGTCTCCAGGCATTGTCTCAACCCATGCTGAAATGCTCCCTGCGATACACCAAGAGTTGAGGTTACAGCAGATTTCTGCCAAGGCTGAGAGTTTCTCTCAGCGTAACTCACCTCCAGTGTTTGCCTGCATGTCGAGCCCTGGACTCCTGGCACTGCACCTGTGCCATGAGCTGGGTGGACACCAGATTGATTGCTCCATGGATCTGCCAACCTTGGCCTTCCCGTCACCCTCTGCAAGGGCCTCTGTGGGAGGCAGGCACTGGGGGTACAGCAGCAACTGAAAGGGTTCGAAGCTGCTTCTCCATGGTCTTGGGTTCGGGAGGATACCTTCCCACTGGGCTAGCCACACATGTGGCATGTCAGGGAGCCACCTCACATGCCGCAGGGCTCTTTTGCGGGGGGGCGCCTGCCGCTGCCAGAGCGCAGGAGAAGAGCCTGGTCGGCAGATCTAGGGAAGTGAGCAGCACAGGCAGCCTCTCACTCTGAAAAGTGTGTTTTGTTGTGTGGTTTGAACACCTTCAGGTGACTTCATCTCCTGGTAAAAGCAAGTGGTACACTCTGATGAAAGCAGTTATTCAAAGTGCAGTATTCCCATATCAATCAGTTGCCTTCTCATAGTCTGACTGTGAGAGCCATTGGCTTTAATTTCCTCTTTGTTAGCCATTCTGATTAAGTGTTACTAAGTTGAATCATGCTGTGAACAATGTCAAGCAGGTAAAAATACAAGTGTTCAGGAAGCTTGGAACCAGTATGCAGAAAAAAAACCCAAACACCAAAAACAAATGAAAAACCATAAATAAAAACCAAAGCAGAGGAAGAAGAGATGTTTCTGGCAATGAGTTTCACCTTCCGATACACAGCTCCCAAGGCAATGTCTTCTGGCCCCTGAAATCAGGCTCCATCTTTTGGAGCGATATAAGAGATAGCTGGAAACTGTATTTAGAGAAATATTTCCTATAACCAAAAGCAAAACAAAACAAAAGAAACACTCACACACAACAAAACCCAACAAAGTGCCCAGAGCTACATACCATTCTGCCTGACTACTGGCCACACTTCATCATGGAAGTTGGATGAGCCAGAGCCAACAATAGTTGATGTGCTAAGGTATGCACATGTAAATTGTGCCTAATGCTGCAAGCACTGCTGTCATTTATAAATGCTGCTTTAATACCAGAAATGTTAACTGGGAGGTCCTGAAAGAAATGTATTTGTGATCTTTGTGGATGGTGGAGTCAGCTTGTGTAATCGCTGCATGAAACTGTGCTCTTTGAAGTTTTTGCACCTCAGGCTAACCCTGAACTGAACCTGAGCTTGAAATGCAGGCTAGTCTCCTTCAAGGAAACGTGGGGCTTGAGAGATGAGGCTCAAGATATTGGCAGAGTAGGACAAGCAGCTCATCCTGTGGCAGACGTGTGCCTCAGCGTGCAACTTCTAGCACTTTTTTCCAACAGCCCCTTCTTAGTAGATTTCCTTAGCACAAAAGCTGTAAATAGACTAACAAAGAAAGAGAGAAGGATGAAGACAAAAACCACTCCTGAAATGTGAAACAAAGTTAGTTCTAGTGAGAGGATAAAGTAACAGAAGAAAGCTCATTCATTTGGTAAAATAAAAAAGAGCTGTGAGTTTTCGCTTATTTTACTGTGCAATATTAGCCCATAATTTAAGATAGCACACGGCTCACTTAAACAGCCTACCCCTGTTCCATCTTGTTGAAGAATACAATTCGTTTTCTACTCCTCTAGGGTGATATCATTTTATATGAAGAAAAAAGTTAGCTCAGATGGCAGTTATATGTTTCGGAAGCACCTTCTAATCAGGGATTGGTGATTCATTATTAGCTTCAGCAGGCGATCCATCTGACATGTAAGGGGAAAAAATTAGCAGCTGTCACTGCATGATGAGTTAATTTCCTGATAGGCCTGACACTGAAAAGCCATTTGGAGACATGGAGATGGCTGATGAGAAAACCTGGTGCTGGTTTATAATTGGAGAGAAAGAAAGGGCAGAGAGACAGAGGGAGCAGGGGGAGGGACCAAGGCTAATCTACAAGTGGGGATGGATGTTTGTATATTTACTAAATAGACTGCTTCACAATAACCCGCATTACTGCGCATATACACCTTGGCAGTTAAGTAATAAGGACTGGGGCCTCTCATTTTCCTTCTGCCGTGTGTCATTATTTTTAGTCATTTGTAATTAGTACTCCAGACGATTTTACACTTACTCCAGCCCGGGTGTACGGTGCTCAAGCACGCGATTGGGTTATCTTGTGGTGACATTGAAACCTGACATTTTAGTGGAAAGGGGCGAAAATGACGCTATCCCTTTAATGCTTCTCGCTGTAATTTTCTTAATTGCAGCTTGAGATTTCAATCAATCATGCAAAAAATAAACTTAGATGAAACAAATATTGCTAAAACTTCCAAGGGCACTATTGGAAAAGATGAAAGGGTATTAAAAGAAATCTCTTGTAGAGTATGAGGAAATACGCTCTTCAAAACATATAAGCACATGCATGTCTGTTTATCCTTTGTAAGAATGACAAGTAAAAACTATGTAGAAAATAGGCATGCAAGGCCGACTAGATTCCACTGTGGAATCTGGCTTCTGTACATGATAGGGACAGCAGCGCAAAGTCTTTTAGATGTATAAAATAAAACTGATAGAAAGCCCTTGGCCAGAGACTGACTAATTTCTTCTGTGGCTGTGCATGTTAGGTACTTCTTTAAATGGCTACTTGTTTTCAGCTTTTTAAATAAGGTATTTAGTAGGCCTAACAAAGGAAGGAAAGCTTTATTTAAAAAAGAAAAAAGAAAAGAAAAAAGAAAAATTGAACAAAATGGTTATTTAAAACTTTTATTTTTCAAAATCATACAATCAAAGAGGTTTTTCACCATCATCAGAAAATAATTTCTGACTTGGAAGAGCATTAGCCACTGAGCCAGTAGCCTCCGCCAATTCCATTTATACAAAAGTAGTTTTTACATTAGGATATATATATATATAAAGCTGTTTTTATATTAGGATGTTGCTATTTAGCAATCAAGGATTTTGGGGGAAAGATCCATGGGAGGTGGGTTAATCTCGCATGTATTGTGTAATTGAAGTATGATAATTTGGCAACATGCACCTGGGCATAAAAGCAAGGATTATGTCCAGCAGCATAATAGGACACCTGACCGTGTTTGAAACATATTCTTGTCCTCTGGCAAAAACACATTTATCAAGGCTTCTTTGAATGACCAGTTGTAAAGCAAAACCCTGCCTTGGAGGTCGTAATTTACTGAGCACCACTGGCTTTGGGGAGTTTAGGATTAGTAAGAATAGCAGGCCGCTGAGGAGCAATAGCTTAATGCTAGGGTGGCTTATCTTCCCTATTCCGCCAACCTCTGATTGCTGTTACCGTCCTGAATCGTCATTCCTATTGCAGCTTTGCAACATCCTGCCAGCAGACTCCTGTCGCCAGTTTGTCACGTTTGGGAGTGAGCCACCTGGATATGCAGGGAGCAGAAGAATGGATGAGTAGTGTTTTGTCTCCACTGGGTTGCAGTACATGTTTTTCAAGTGATTGTGAGCTTCAAGATCCCATGCAACAGCCAACAGAAAGATTTTCCAAGCCATCCAGCTCCTTGGGAGAAATAGGTGGGTAAGTTAAGTATCACCAAGGGGCACCTGGTCTGCCAAAGGAAAAGAGTAGGAGACTCAGCCTTTGATTCTTAGTCTGCTAGAAACC